TGTGTGTGTGTGTGTGTGTGTGTGTGTGTGTGTGTGTGTGTGTGTGTTCAAGGATCATTTAAAGTCATTATGTAACACAGGGATGCACAAACGCAATTCAGTCGTAGCCCATTTGCGACACAACAAACACGTGACTAACAAAACAGAAGCAGTAGTACATTCCTGTCGAGCTTTTCTTTTTATTTGCATCATCAGGAATGTAAACAAACAGCAGCAACAGAAACCTCTCTGGGCAGATAATGCGGCCGACAGCTTCACATTAAATATTCAACATGAGGAAAAACGTTGTCCATCAACTTTGACTGTGTATAAATATGGTGTTTGATTTACTGTGACCTCACTTTGTTGCATATATTTATTATTTTAAATGTAACGCACATCGAGTTTCTCTGTAACGAAATGTGCATTTATAAATAAAGTTGCCTCACCTTGAAAAGGTTCTTCATATAATACAGCTGAGTCATTTTAAATGAAATGAATTTGTCTTGCGATGAAGTTGAAATTAACAGTTTGCTTCACGCAGTACGAGGAGGTGAAGACGGAGCTGTCGGACCTGAAGGAGAAATATGAGAAGACTGAGCAGGAGAAGCAGTCGCTCGCTGACCAGTTTGAGGAGTGCAAAGCCAACATGGAGGAACTAAAGGAGAAAGAGACAAAGGTGAGTGCTGGTCCATCGCACACTAACAAAGACGCGTATATATATATATATATATATATATATATATATATATATATATTAGAATAATCTGCAATTGTGTTTTAATAGTTAATACGGAAAACAGCACCATAGCTTTGCATAAGAGGCAAATTTGGTTTTTAGGAGCATGAGCTTTGCATCAGATTTGTTTTATCTTGTTAAAAATTCTCCGGGCATAAAAAACAAATCTTTTTTGTATGATTCACAATATATATATATAAATATATATATATATGTATATATATATATTTTTTTTTTTCTTTAGTCACAGCAGCACACCTGCTCACCTCTAATCATCCACTGTCTGCTGCTGTTGCCAGCCGTGTGTCACTTTGAGATTTGTGTAAACACCAATTACAGACTCCTGACTGAGAGGTTTATTAATAAAGCTCCGCCCAGCTAGAAGTATGTCCCGCTGCAGTTGATCACTGTAATGTCCCTTCCCTTCTGTAGACGTCCCCATTGCTGCCTGTTCAAGCCATAGTCATGGGCCTTATCCTGGCTGTGCTGTATTGGTGCTACGGTGCATTGTGGTAGTAAGGTACACGATACTCCTGTCAAATCGGCCGACATCTTTCATTCTCACCAGTGTCTTTTGGACCAATTGCATGACTTATTTCCCCGGAATGCCTTCCTCGTGGGGAGGGAGGGAGGGAGGGAGGGAGGGGGGGAACAACAGACAAACGTCTCAGAGACTCTAACCTCTCTAATCATACAGTTCCAACATCTGACATCTGCTTGTCTTGTCTGGATGGCTAATGCTTAACAACTGTTTCTCCCCGTTGGCTTGGATGAGCTTCTCTTTATCTCAAAGAGCTGTTTTATTTTTTACTTTTTAAACTCGCCCTCTCTCTCTCTCTCTCTCTCTCTCTCTGTCTCTCTCTCTGTCTCTGCACTGCATTGGTTTCAAATGGCAAGCCCCTTCTGTCAAAGCTTTTGCAATCCGATGACGCAATGACATAATGGTGGTTGGTGGTCGGTTTCATGTGGTGTTGCTCATGTTTCCGTTTCTGTGTCGCCGCTTGTTTCAGAAGCCGTGGTTGATCTGGGGGCCTGTTGTTGCTGTGGCTCTAACAGCTGTGACTGCTGCTGTGCTCTTCAGGACCTGAGGGCAATGTGCACACACACACACACACACACACACGTTTATCATCCGATTTCTCCACACTGAAAAACTTGCCCCCTTATCATATCTGCACTTTTAAGTAGGAGGGCTCATACTAAACACTGTTTTATTTCTAAGAGGCTCTATTTTAGATGACAGAGAGGTTAATAAAAGAATGTCACTTTTGTGTGCAAAAATGAAGAAGTTTGTTTGTATCCCTGTTATTATTCTTGGAAGGATTGTGTGTTTTTGTTTACCACCATGACTTCTAGGATCATCCATTAACGAATGTAAAGAACCGCTACACGCTTAATTAGCTCTAGATATATCACCTGCAGTTTGAACCTCCCTCAATGTAACACATCTCTGTAACTGTCGGAATAATAAATATTCTCACAATAATGCAGACCCGGATTGAGTGCATGATGACTGCCTTAACATCAGTTTATGGAGGAGGTGGGCACTGCTAAGTTAATGTCTTTTATCGCTAATAAAAGTGGGGATTTTCAGAGCGTTTTGGACATTTTGCGTTTTTTTTGTTAAGCGTTATTAATAGTTCTGAAAACAGTTTTTCTTTTATGACGATTAAAGTGAAACAGCCCCAATATATGTATGTAAACTCTGGTTTTCCTTCATCAACATTCAGGGTTTTTAAGTACCCAACAGTTGCTTCCATAGACGGTAACGTTTCTGCACCAGCTACTGTTCATCATATTACTCTTTCTTGTGCCAATTAATACACATACGAGGTTTGAATTCAGTGGAACCGACATTTTATCGATAACTGCGATCACCCGGGGACTGCACACCACTGGGAAGTCAGTATTACATAACAGTATCATTTAAATGTTTTCCATCTACCAACAAGAAACTGGTGTAACACTTGAAATGTCATGTTTTTGAAACTCAACACTAAACTTGTTAAGTAGTGTTTTTCATGGTTATATATTTGCATGCAATATATATGATTTTGTGTCAAATCTCAATCTATTCATTTGCTTTATTTGTGATATGCGTTTTGTAAAGAGATGGAGAGATATATATACTGTAGTTTCTTGGGTTTAGAGTTTATGAATAACTGCTCTAAAATGTACGAGTGACCTCAATTAAAAAATCTTACCCTCATCGTTCACACCTTTTATAGTCATTGCATAAGCAGGCAGTCGCTGAACAGCTTCACGGAGATGAGGTCAGACCTTTTATTTATTTTGATCCTCTCATTGTAGAGGAACACCAGATATGAGGTAAGCTGTGGTGTGTGCTGTCTGTTCATGTTAAGGGAAGGGAACCGTATTTACATTCATACTTTTGCTTCCACCCTCCAGCTAAATAATTTAGGAGGTTAGATCTTATGTCGTGCTTGCTGTTCTGCACCATGCAGCAGCATAGACTGTGGTGAAGTGAAGACGTGCAGTGTGTGGACGGACTTGTTAGTGACCTGCAGATTGACCTGCAGGACAAAGAGACACTCGATGCCCCTCTGCAGGAGCTGAAACACAGTAACATGACCGGGAAATAATACAGACGGGAACTTAATGGAGCAACATGTGAGTCAAAGAAACCATGTAGAAACACCCACCTGCTCCAGAGAATACCTTAAAATCTACACACACATATACACACACGCACACACCTTGTAGTGCTCATATAATTAAATCACACCTGTTTCTTATAGACTTTTAGAGGATTGAATACAATTCAGGTTTTTCTTTACATCAAGTACCTACACAAATATCGTGTGTGTGTGTGTGTGTGTGTGTGTGTGTGTGTGTGTGTGTGTGTGTCAGTCATCAGGGTTATGTGGCTTTGGGCCTTAAAGCTGCAGTGTGTGGGATCTAGTGCCATCTGGTGGTGGAGGGTGCAGATTGAAACCAATTGAACCGTCTCCTGTGTGCCACACATGTAGGAGAACTACAGTTATATTCCACTTCTACCAGTAGATCCCATAAATGCTGCACCCTGTCATTTTAAGGCCTTGTTCAGACCAACTAGAGCCCTGTGACGAAATAGTTACTGCACTAACAACTCTACAGAGTTGTAGAGTCTGTAGTTTTTCAGATAAGCCTTTAAAGGAACAATGTGTATGATTTAGGGGGAGATTATTAGAAATGGAATATAATATTCATGACTATGTCTTCATTAGTGTATAATCAGCTTAGGATGAGCTGTTTGTGTCTACAGCAGGGTCCTCTTCACAGTCTGTTTTCACAGAACCTCATTACTGGATGCTACTAAATCCTTCACACAGCTCCTGTAAACACATTAATCTTTTACTCCAACCGGACTTCCTGGATCACATTTCAGTGTTTCACCAACGTGGTGACACAGTGAGACGACAGCTTTAGACTATGAGTGTACAACAGAAAGACTGCATTACAAACTGGAGGTGTTTGGAAAGAAGTGGGCATTTAGCGTTACATTATGGGAAATGTAGGATGCAAGTATTGTGGAGCGTGACCCATGCAGGAACGTGCACTAAAAATCAGCTTTTTGTTTTTGACCGTTCTTTCTCAAAGGCTGCCTCTAGTGAGACCTCATCTTTATGGGTTTGTAACAGAGTAAATGTGACGTCTCACTGTGGTGGCCTCCACTTCTGCAGGAAGATGACAGGGTGAAGCTCTCAGTGCAGTTACCGGCAGACCACACTGACAGATGTCAGACAAGATGCAGTATATTTCTCAACAGGGCGAGAGGCTTGTTGAGGAATCTCAAATTTCGCAATGTCCATCGGGTCATAGCTGCTATGCGATGTGGAAGCATCTGACCCTCATTTCTGTCCTGCCGTGTAAAGGATCCGACGTCACGTGACCGGGATGTTGACGTGATGCTCAGACTCTGTGTGTGTAGACATGTGAGCAGACTGACGACAGCCTCTTCTCTCCGTCCTTTATAAACCCAAACATGAGAAGCATTCACACGCAACTTGAGCCTCCTCTGCAGAGTGGCCGAGTCCATTTAGTTCTGCTCCAGTTTGTATGTAGGTCATCTGTAGTGGACCAGAGATGCATCAGAATGGCAGCTGCACATTGCAATAGATGGGTTTTTTTGTTTTTGTTTTTTACTGTGTGATCTTGGACTTAATAAAGCTTTAATTTACATTCATTCTATTTAAATTTTCTTTTACAATTATAAGTCTTCAGAATTGTAGCTTTCCTTCCATACAAACAACCTGTTAATAGTTGTGACGTACAACTTGTTTTTATGTTTCTGTATGTATCAAATAAATAGGCCAGCACATGCAGAAACATTGGTGGACCTTTCAATTAATTATGAAGTCTTTCATTAAAGCGAGGCGCTACATTTAACTAGTAGATATCACCAGGAAACCTCACCAGTCGAGTACTTACATCTCTCTTTAACATACAGAACATCCTAAGATCGTTCACCTCTTGTGGGCAGTTTGTTTGATGTTGATCAGTTCTGGTTCTTCCCTTCAGTGAAACCTCCTCATGAAGGAGAAGAAGAAGAAGAGGAAAGACAGAAATCATCTTCCCGACTGACTGTAAACCAGGAGGAGCTCCAGAGTCGGTCTCCATCATGACACCCTGTGGTACGTTTTGGACCTGAAGCTCCAGACATCACATGTGGATGAATGTGACTTACTGACGCTCCTTTGTTGGAGGGTTTAAGGTGAAACTACATTGTGTGAATGCTTTTGTCCAAAGCAACGCATAAATGAAGAATGTTTACCTTTTAATGGTATCGGTTTTAATCCTTTTGTCTCTACATTTTGATTTCGGTGGTCACATATCCTTAATAATCCTTTGTTACACAACAATCCTTTACTGAAGGTTTACTGCAGTATTTATCTCTTGTATTTGTGTTTCTGTACACAGTGAACTGCCTGGACTCTGAATCAGGTTCCTGTTGTGCGTTCACTTTAAAAGATTGACCGAATAATGTGGTGGCCCGGTTTTCCCCAATGATAGAATAATCAATGAGTTTATCCAGAGCAAGCTGCCAGGGACTGACTGCACTCCACGGGGAGAGTTGTTGTCTTTTATTTTGTTTATATCAAGTAGATCATTTGACTATTTATGCTTTCAACACATCAACAACACCTTTAAATAAGCTCAAGTATCTGCACGCTGTAGAACTAATACAACAGAATCACAAGAAACCAGGAGGGAATAATCTGAAAAGTAAGTTGTTACGATTTAAAAAAAGGGAAAGTCGTGGCTTGTAGAGATGTTTCTTGTGTTATTTACTATTTATTATCTCAACATTGTATGGATGCTGGCTTTACCCCCTCCCCCGACACACTGCGCGTGTGTGTGTGTGTGTGTGTGTGTGTGTGTGTGCGTGTGTTTGCTGTAGGGAAGCCATGGCAGCTGATCTGGACGTGGTGAACTTGTTCATAATTGCGGGGGGAACTCTGGCTATTCCCATCCTGGCCTTCGTTGCTTCCTTCCTCCTCTGGCCCTCTGCACTCATCAGAGTCTACTACTGGTGAGGTCGATGCCTTTCACTTCATACGTTTAATATCTGACGTGTATTCCCTCTTATCAGCCACAAATGATAGTTATGCTCCAAGTAGTTTACAGTAAATTACAATTTACTGACGACAAAACTAGCTTATAATCAAAATACATGTACTGTTACTGCTTAAGGGAAGACACTAAAGGAGAATAGGGTTAACATCTAAAGTAATATATTCCATAATGAAACTTCCCCAGTTGAGTACTTACATTAAGAAAACAATTTTTTGAATTGCAATTTTTCTGAAAATGTATGTTTTAATATGCAAATGAGTCATTGTCTGATTAAATATGTGCTAATTTGCATAAATTCCCAGAACAGAAATCTGAACACTGGATTAAGACGGATCCAAAAGTCATGTTTCATTTTGTTGACAGATCAAAGTCAGAGGGAATGAAGGATATCTCTTTCTATCACTCCATAAAACATAAAATCCTGTGTACAGCCATAAGAAATACATATTTGATGGTAACTTTTGGTGAATTTAGGAGAAAATCTACAGACACAAATGAAAGAAGACATTTCATAGAAGCAAAATAGCCCAAAATCTCAAAAATTATCAGTTCTGTTGTTTCTGAGCTTAATATCAGTTTCCTTTAAAGAAATATGATTTTTAAATTGAGTTAAAAATTCAAACCCAAGACTCCATGTTTTTATGGCTGCTGCACCGTTCCTTCAAAAAGACAATTTCTTCAAGTCTTGTTATTAATTATTATTTTATCCATCTGGTCACAGAATATCAGCCTGGATTTGAACTATGTTTGGCTGCTGTTTTAAAGCAACACCCACGTGCACTTTGAAAGTTTGATTTTTCCTACATGTGAGTCTTGCATTTAGATTTAAAGTATGTGAGCCTATATCCTTTATTAATGTGACCTTTATGAACATAAACTGTGTGAAAGTACACAAAATAGTTTGCTTCAAAGCCCATTACTACTTGACTCTGAGTTCCGGTGTCTGTGTTCATGAGCTCACACGTTCCTGGTTCCTCTTCAGGTACTGGAGGAGGACTCTGGGCCTGCAGGTGCGCTACGCCGACTGCGGCGGCTATCGCTTCTGCTTCGCCTCCAGAGGAAAGCCGGGGATGAGACCCTCCATCTTAATGCTGCACGGCTTCTCTGCTCACAAAGACACGTGGCTCACTGTTGTCAAGGTTGTTGTCAAAACAGTTTGCTGCTTTGTGCTCGTGACTCTCAACAGAATTCTATGATAGAAACTTGTTTTTCTTTTTAAGTGACAAGAAACGTAACAAGAACACAGGATGTTATCCTGTGAAACTGGGACTTTTTATGAAGCAAACTTATGTTATTCATAAAATAGCTTCGTAAGAGTTTTGAGGACAACACATAGAAGTACAGGCCATGAGAATTTAAATATTTTAACACTTACTAGTGATGTTAATGTGAAATGTAAACCTGGAAAGTCTTTATTTGGCTTGAATTCCGTTTTTTTTGATATTTCCAGGTTATTTCGAGACTGTTTTCTTATTTTTTTTTCTAAGGTTCACAAATTCAGATTTGACTAAATTTGCTCAAATTCCACCGGTCAAATTCAAAAATGTGGATGTCATGCAAAGGATGAGCTGTCAATCAGACCTCTGTCCAATCAGGTTTCAGTCAGTCAGTCACATGATCCGAGAAAACAAAGCTTAAACTGAACTTAAGTTCAGACTGACGGTTTCCAAAGTAAAATATTTTAACGCTATGAATTCAGTTGCTTCTCAGGTTCCAGGTATTACAGCGTTTCTTGGCTTCCATACATTCATGGTTTTCAGCTGTCTACCTTCTTCTCTCCTGCTGCTCCAGTATTTACCGAAACATCTTCACATTGTGTGTGTGGACATGCCGGGTCATGAGGGAACAACACGCACCAACACAGAGGACTACTCCATTCAGGGTCAGGTCAGACGGATCCATCAGGTACACACCGAAGAGAGGGGAATTTAAAAGGGTTTATTTGTCAGGCACCTAAAATCATTCAACTGAAAATCTTTTTTTCTCAGTTTGTGGAAACCGTTCGCTTGAACAGGAAACCTTTCCATGTGGTCGGGACCGCCATGGGAGGAAACGTAGCCGGGGTTTACGCAGCCTGCTACCCCTCAGAGATCTGCAGCATCACTCTCATTTGTCCAGACGGTCAGACAAGAGAGAGAGAGAGTGTGTGTGTGTGTGTGTGTGTGTGTGTGTGTGTGTGTGTGTGTGTG